AAATATTTTGAAGTACAGACACGAAACTGGAATCACACATACCTTCTCTCTGAGCAGTCTTTCTGTGTAGATTATATCAGTCTGATACTTTGACACCTGTCCCTAAGAATCACTGCATAATTCAACTAAAGTATTTGAATGGATTATTTCTATACAGTTACTTTAATTGTCTGTTTATGCTGCAACATGTTGAGTTTAAGGTGATTTACAGCTAATTGAGCAGCCTTTAAATTTATTTTGACAGCAAAGATTCACATCATGTATTAGTGTTTTCCTTTTAAAAGGAAGCAAGATAATATTTTTATACAAGAAAATATGTCTTGTGCAAGTAGAGGATGAATTTAGCAAGATGATCAGTGGCACTTTGTCGATGGGGTCGCTAAAATTGACTAACAATCAAAGACCTTCAAAACATTTCTAAAATATTGTTGGAGTAACTTGTGAGAGGCAACATCTTTTGGGCTGTGGGGACTTGAAATAACACAACAAAGTCTAAAATGAATCAAATTTGGCTCAGGCTTTCCTAGAAAAGTGTAAGTGTGTCTGTGTGTAGAGCTGTTACAGACTGTTTTCCGTGGCTGTATCACAGTGGTGATGATTGGTCATGGGTGGGTGGGTGGTGAGGGCATTTAAGGCTAACACTGACTATGCCTAAGCGCTGTTGCACAATGTTTTGTGCATCCCTGCATACATTATATATCTGAACAGATGCGTGAGTGTGTGTCTCTCACTCAGTGTGTCTGGGTCTGAAATGTGTTGGAGATCACTCCGCCTGCCCTTTTACTGCGCTGTCCCTAAGGCCCAGAAGCTGCACTGAAATCTGCTCACTGTGGTAGAGCTCGCCTGCGTGCTCTCACACACACGCACAGATAAGTTCCTCCAGAGAAACAGGGTATTCACTTTTTTTTGTTACATGTATGTATTCAGCTTTCATGGGCGTATTTGTACTGGAGATGGGATTTATGGCTCTTTGAAGGGAGTCGGATCTTGTGGAGCTGTTCCCTTAAAAGAGCTGTTCAAAAGACTGGCTTGTTGTTTGAATTATTTATTTGTAAGAGGCCAACCAGGGGTACACATGGAGTGGGAATTATTCAGAAATATTGATTTTAATTTCTTTTGGCTTGTGTTTTCATATTAAACCTCCTGTAAGGTGGTGCCATATCCCCGTGCTTTCACAGTGTGATCACTATTTTTAATTTTTCCCTCACCTAAAATCTATGCAAGCTACAGATAACTGATAAGTGATAAAAATTAAGACATGATAAAGATATGAAAGCAAAATTATACTACCCTACCTGGTGTTTGGGGCGTACAGGTGACACCTGTAGGCAGCGTTAGCAGTTTGCATATGAGAACGGCTCGCATCTATGAGGCTTTATAAATGTGCAGATGATGCATTAGAAGAGGTGGGTTCATATGAAGAGTTAGCCAAACTTCTGATGCTTTAATATAACTTTATTGCAAACAAGTTTACTGTTTTTTATCAACAACAACAAAATATATCAGACCCTTCATCTACGGCTCTTAACTTTTTGTATTGATATCCTTGTTTTGCTTTCCTGAGGGAGTCGTGGTGCTGCAGCATCAGCTATGGGACTCCCTTGACTGAAACATTTGTGCATTTAGAGGGGGGTAAGAGAGTGAGCCCACATGTTTACAGGAAGAGGGCTTTTATTGCAGATGTGAAATGAAAATCAAGCTGCCATACAAAAGAATAAGAATAATGCACAAAATACAAAGCGTAGTACAATATTAGGTTGTCAAACACCTGCTTATTTTGCATATTTGTCTTAAATGAAGTGGGAAGAAGTACACATGTATTAAATCCACCTCTTCTCTTTCAGTATTAATTCATTTTCTTAGCTCTTTTTAGAGAAGCTCCATTTATTAACTTTTGAATCCAGTATTCCAGCTTAATGTTTATCTCAGGCTCATCCAGAGTCCCTGTCTCTAACACCCGTATGCACTGATGTGAAAAACACAGTATGTTTTCTTCAGGGACCCTGAAAGAGAAAAAAAAATGACTTGATCTGTCTTCCTGCTTGACAGTTTTCACTGTGTTCTCAAAAGTCCACAACATGCAGTTTCTGTGCGGCTCTTTCTGTTATTGCAGTGTAAAGTTAGCAATCCCGCCAGCAACAAGTATGGTAGTTAAGCAAAAGCTCATGATGGATAACTGTGAGGTGCTGCTCAGGCAGTTTACAGCACTCTGCTCTCCACTGGTAATGGTGGGAGCTGCACTAACAGTCACTGCATATGTCCACAATGAACCTTTTCCCGGTTTACAACACCTTCCTTTGGGTAAGATTTAAATTTTAACTTCTGTTTTAAAAACTGAGAAAATCTGTGTTTTAAGAAACATTTCCTTCCTCTCTCTTGACAGTCTTTCAGTTTCAGTTTTTCACGTCTGAAGGGTCTTGGCCTGAGAAGGAAGCTGAGATGGTGAAAAATCTGTCAGTGTTAAATACAGAAACGACACCGTTCAGAGTTTCATGCCCGTTGTTCTCCGTCTCTCTGACACTCTTTCTTCATCTGCCTCTCGGTAAGGAGAGTTAAAATAGAGTTAAGGAAGGTGAAACATCCTGACATGCTCCTCCTTTTCTATTTTACAGAGGGATTAGAAGCAAAAAGCAATATTTCTGTCTTCATAGCTGTCAGGTTTTGGATCTGTCTTGGATGATTTGGTGGTGGGGATGTGACAGGGATACCAGGTAATCCTCTCTGAATATGAAAGCATCTCCGTACTGTATCTGTCTCTGTGATTCTCTCCAGGTCTTGCACCCTGAGGAGTGATCACATCTCTGCTCCCCCCTCCCTTCCCTTCTTTCTTCTCTCCCTCTTTGCTTTCATCCCTTTTTTTTCCATTTACAAGTTCATCGCAGGAAGAGAGAACTAGGTGTTGAAGTTAGATGAGGAGAGAGCAGAAAAGATGGAGGAGGCAAGATCGTGTGTGAGAGTAAGGAAGCATGAAAAGAGAGATCATGCTAATTATCCATCACCTTTAACTCCCTATGGCAGTTCTCCGCTCCTATTCCTTTCATTTGGATGAAGATGCATGCTCGTAACTTATGCGCTCATTGTGTTAATTGCGCCTCAATGTTCTTTGCATGTCTAAGTGTGTGTGTTTAAAAGTGTACGCCAACGCTAGGACCCATGAGCGATTTCCACTCTGCTATCAGGGGACATCTGAGGTCAGTTATGAATGACATCACAGCCCAGGGAGATAGGTCCTCTCATATTGGGATTATTCTGCTGCCCTTTGCACTGCCTGACTGTAATGTCTGTAATAGAGCTGTGATGGAGCTGTAATTGTAGATAAATTGGCTTTGGGGGCATTGGTTTAACAATGAAAATAGGCTGTGACAGTGCTGTAGTTCATTTGAGTGTTTTATAACTAAGGTTGCAGGGTTTTTTGAGATATGCTCAGACTTTGAACAGTATTTGAAAGATGGAGATTTTTAAAAATTCAGTATAGACAGTGAGAAAATACAAGCAGAGAGGAAATTGTGGTGACAAATCTACCCTTTTAAAGGTCTCAAATAAAGTGGTTTGCACGGATATGCATGCAAAGCCACTCCCTCGCTTGATTTTACTTACTCCTGTGCTTTTGTAGTTTCGCTTTAGTGTTACACAGTCAAGCTGTCAAAGGTTAGAGCCAGATGCACCAACTCCTTGCAAAAGCTAAATGATTGTCTATATCCTGTCCCTGCACCTGAGGATCTACGAAAACAGTGGTCTCTTTTTACCTTTAGAACAAACGCCACCCCTTATTTGTTTGTCCTTTACCACTTCATCTCAAACTGCTTCAACCATAGACTGTAAAAACGACAAACTACTTGGTTACGCCCTCTGCCTGTATACGGCTTTGAAGCCAAAAAGCTCTCAGCAATTCCACATTTTTTCTCCATTCCTGAAACCAACATTGCGCAGTAGCGTTGTAGACATTCGGCGGGAGAGTCGCTGAGAGTCGCTGTGATGACTCTCAGCTCAAACAGCGTACCCCCCGGGTGAGCTTTGCAATCTTCATTCGCCCATAGGCTGTATCAAGTGTCAATCATAGAAAACATGAACCCCCTTATAACTTTTAAAAAACGGAGCTGCACTGAAAAAAAGAGAACTTGAGCACAAACCAGTCTTACAATGACTACATGTCAACATCGCAAGCAGTGTGGAAAAAGTATATATATATTCTGTGTAATGAATTTCTTAAGTTTGTACACAGCTACATAAAGACAGCTAGAGGAGGCGGGATTTATGACCTATACTACAGCCCGTCGCCAGAGGATGTTGTTCTCTGGGTGGCTTCACCCAGTGAGGAGGCAGACGGCGTCTATTCTATATACAGTCTATGGCTTCAACATGAACAGTTCATGACTCAACAACAGCAGATTGTCACCACTTTGTAAGAGTGGCTTAGCGCTCGTTGGGGTTCTCCTGGAGCATTCGCCGTGTTTGTTATGGTGTTTTTCCCCTCACTGCATTTTTCTGCACAGGTCCGCATCCACCCATCTCACCCAACATTTAGACGGCCAATCTGCATATCAACTCCTTATCATTACATCCCAGCCCACTCAGATCAGTGAATGGATTATGAGATTAGAAACTGAGAGGCCGCTGATCCTCCATCAGTGGCTGGCTTTGTGATGTGAATCTAAAACCTTGCATAAAAGACCCTTAGGACATTTTTTAAACAGCTAAAAGTATTGTTATAAAGGACCTCTAAAGGCCTGTGTTTCTATGAGGCAAATATCTATACTTTTTTCCTTTTTTCCCCTTGGATTTGTTGCGTTTTGTCTTCTCCATATGGTCCTTTCCTGTCGCTTCTTCTCTGCTAGCAGGTTTTATATATTATTAATGATACAATAATGAGTAATTAGGGTCACATGATAATCACACCAACCTCCTAAATATCTCATTTACTTTCTCATTTTTTGAAGTCAGTTTTTCTTCAAGGTCCCCCTTAGAAAGAATTTCATGCTTCTGTCTAATCTGCTCCTCACCTTTCTCTCTGCCTTCTGTTCTTGATTTACAGTCTCACGCCCCTCCTCTCTCTGACCACCCGTCTTACATCTAAAACTGCTCATCTCAGGTTTCTCTCCTCCCCCTCTCCTCTCCTCTGTCTGTGTCACACAATCACAGACTCTCCTTCTGTATGCCAGGCAGAGCGCCAGAATACCAATGGACCAATAGACCAATAGACCAGAGCCCTCTGTCTCCCTCTGTCTCCCTATTATCCAGATGCCTGTCTTTCTGCCTGCAACAAACACACACAGATGCATATTCCTTCAAATTAATCCATGCACCAAAACAAATCTTTATGTGCAGGGTTGCAGAGGCAAATACAAACCTAGAGTTGCACACAATTACTAATGCAACCTCTCTGCACATTTAAACAGAGTCTCACCAAATACAAGTGCACAATGACTATATAAATGCACAATACACACCTCAATGCACCTCCAGTATAGACCCCATTGTACACCAACAGGCTCACAGCTGCTGGCCCTTCTAATCAATTTGCACTTTAAAGAGAGTTCCACCTTTCCTGCTGCTGTTCCAAAGACCCCCTGCTTCTCTTTCATGGCTCTTTCGCTCTTTTTTTCATCCCTGTATTTTTTTCTTACAGTAGTTTCTCTCCCAATCTCCAGCTGCTTCCACTTTCTTCATCTCTTCTTTTGTTTTCCTAGAAAAGTAAAGTGGCATTGCTTTTTTCCCCCCTCCCTCCCTCCTAAAGCAGCGTTTCTACTCTATTATTTAGAGGATGTGGCATGCAGATAAAAATATAACAAAGGCTACAACTTAAAACGGAGGCCGCATAGGCTATTGATACCATTTTAGAAAGCCCAAAAGCACAGACTGGTTGCTTATTTGTTATCAGCCGATGTCGAAGAAGCTTGCTGATAACTGGAACACCAGTTTTAAAAGAAAACTGCTCATTATTACAACACTGAGTAAGGACGGTCCTTACACCATTGCTTTTCTCATAGGTGGAAGAACATCATGGTGAATCATGCAGCTAATAGTGATTGGGGGATTGGGAGGGATAAGAGAAAAGCAACAGTGAAACAGCCCCGTATGTTGTAAAGGCTTGGTAAGATACATTGTTCATCAAGAGGAATTGTTACCCATGTAGAGGAGAGCTGGTTTAGATGTGCTGCTGCACTCTGATGTTAAGTACACCACCTGGAGTTCAGCTAATGCAAGAGAAGAGCTCAAAAGATGCCAGCATGCAGGAAGGAAACAGTGATATGCATTATGTGCCTGAAAAAAAAAAAAGAAATCTTTTCAATCTCATTTTCTCAAAATATCTCAAATATAGCAATATGTATATGTTTGTATATCCACAGAGGGATGAAAGCTTGAGCTCTCAATGCCACTCATGACACTCGTATTTTAGCAGTATGAAGTTCAGAGCTTGGATATCAAAACACTACACTCCTTCTCTGGCAGCCTACCAGCTTACTCTATTTTCTTCATGCTGTGAATGATGTTTTATGCATGGTATATATAATGTATGTTGTTTTCGTATAAAACTTCTTTGTTCCTGGTCGTTTCGGGGAGATGTGAAAGGCATGAGGCTTTATATTCTTTCACTGTTTATCATGTGTAACCAAGAAGGATGGCTGCAGGTACATACCTTAACTTGCTTGCAGGGGTTGGTATTAATGTGTGGGTGGCCATGCTGGTGCTGTGACTGTGTTTGTGTGGAAGCATGGGAGTTGTTTTGCAGGTATGTGGATGTGACAGGTGAACATTGTGCACATTTAATCAACTTTTTTCTCTTTTTCTTTTTTTTTTTTTTTTTTAACCAAAACAAGAACTCCCTGCTGATTCATATTATCTTTCTTGGGTTCTTTTCTAATTTATTTAGAAAATTGCCTCAATCATTCTGACTAGCTCATGATTATTCCTTTTTCAAGCATTTTTCCTTCAGGACTTTTTAAGGGCCAGAGGGAAAGTAAAATGCAGCATGGCCCTGAACTCTACTGACTACTTCCAATTGTTGTTGTGGTATCCATGGAATAAACTTAAAAAGTTTCATTATTTTTTCAAGTTGCTGAAGATAATGAATGTCAGCAAAATGTCAAAACATTCTGCAATTTTTTTTTCAAACCAAAATAATTGTATCATCGTATAAATTTCTTTCAAAAGCATTTGTATATCTGACAGTGGTTCCAATAAAAGTTTGAAATGAAGTTATCAGGATACCGGAATATTGAGTTTGAGTTCATATAAAAGTCAGATGATATTATAGCAAACTGAGCCACGAAATGAACCCCAAAAGCACCTAAATAGGGTATTTTTTGTGTTTTTTTATTACCTCACGCTGTAAACAATGCTTGGACTGAAATTGAAAGCATTGTTTTAATGTGTCAGTCATTGTGCAGTGGTTTGGAGCTCCAATAGTCTGGATATGGGGACCATTGAACAACTTCTTGCCCAGATGACGGTGCTATCATCCTCCTTGCTCTGTCTGTCACTCTAAAAGATACAAACATCGTTTAGATGAGATGCCAAAAGGACCAAATATAAACCTTTGTGGCTGTTCAGGATGCAGCAGAGAGACATATACAGCATTCAGGAAAAAGCGTGACTCAAGCAGAAATGATCATCTCTGCATGTTTGTGCAAAGGTGTTGACCTTGTTCTTGTCACTTTGTCTATATTGCTCATTTCATACACATGCACAATTCCTGAAAATTTCCAGGACGCATGTCTGAAAAGGGCTTATCTAACTAGACCACTACTGTTTTCTTTCTATATCTTGTGGCAGCTTTTGGTCTGAAAATATAACTAGATGTATCCTCTTAATGGGCTTTGGTTCTTCTCAATACTATTGAAAATAAAATGCCAGCTCGAGCAATATTTCAAAACACATGGTTTTGAGAAGCATCAAAGTGTCAAATTTTCACCACCTTTCTGCAAAACACCAAACTCTGCTTTAGAATAAAGTTGGTGTTTGGTTCATGATGACAGGATAGTGTTGGCTTAAAGCTGAGCAGGTTTGTCTGAACAACTGTCTCTCTTTTTTTCACAAAGGTGTTGCTTTTATGTTCAAGAAATATAATGTAGCTAACTGAGCTGAACTTTGTGATTTGTTTTTACTTTCTTGCAGTCCTTCTTTTTATTTAACGTACAGGAGTCATGTCATCAATGACATATCTATTGACCTGACTATTGCCTGTTATTATAAGATCCAACCCGTGTTTCTCTCTGTCTCCGGGATTATTTGAGGCATTTCTGAGTTTTTACTGTTTTTATCATTTTATTGTCAATATGAATATTTCAGCAATGCTTGCGCATATCAGAGCTTCTTATTAATATAGGAACATAGTTCAATATACAAGATAATACAATATGATGCGTGTATTTTCTTTGCGTTCTTTGATTTGTGAAACCGCTCTTATGTCTTGTAAGGGTCTCTAGAGATTGCCTATCACCTCAGCAAGAAATCTCATCATGAATGGGTGTTTAAACGGTGTGATTTTCACTTACCTCCTACACATGTCCTTCATTTTACCTCACAATCTCATCTCCTGTTTTTCTTCTTTTCTCCCTCTTAGTCTTCATCGACCTTTAACTTTTCTCCACTCAAAATATCTCTCCCAGTCATTTTCCTTCCTCAGAGGTTAGGTTTGGATGTTCATCTTGTGGTCTTCACCCTCTCTTTGACTTTGCTCTTTTTAACACACACAAAAAAAACCCAGAGCCACCCTTACACTTCTCTTTTTTTGTGGCTGCAGGGCTGTGTTAGCATTCTGCTGAGGTGCAAACATTAAATGCCACCTAGCAGGAGACAAAGAAAAAATTATGGGAGGAAAACTGGTGGGGTTCTGGCGTCAGTGATGGACTGTGAATGCCTGTAAACTCGGTGTACCTCTCTGATCTATGTTGCATTTGACAAATCAAAATGTTCTCCCATGAGCACGCTGAGTAAAAAAGCTTAAACCTCCACCTTTAATGCAGATGATTCCAAATGTTATGTTTTAAATTGATTTCTTGCCTCATTGCTATTCGGTGCCAGCCCATTTGTTGTTGTGTTTATGATTTAATGGATTGTTTATAAGTTAAAGTTAACACAAGAGTTTATTTGTGCTGACAGCTGGTGTGGAGCTAATGGAGAGAAATTGACCTTTTAGCTAATGGAGTTATAAAACAGTCCCCGTTACTCCTGTGTCTGAGGGTGTGGATGTTTAAGGGAAAGGGGTGTGTTTTTCATGTGGAATGATGCACTGAGTATAGGTTACAGTGTTTGAACTATGGTCTTTTTGTGTTGAGAAATATTTTTTAAGGTATCCAAAGGAAGATTAAGTTCTTGTGTTGTTCGACCAGAGCCAGCCAACTCCATGCAAGAATGAGACTGTTGGGGAGTGTGAGGGACATTGTTCTGAACCATAATACAGTCGTGTTTAAGTCCAAGTCTTGACATTATTTTGAACTTTTTATGAAAACTTAAAAAGACTGAATGATTTGTGGGGCACTTATCTCCTTCCCACTCTTTTAACCTGTTTCCTCTTATGTTCTGTCCTCTCTGTATAAAAGCAGAAATGCATGAAATTATTTAGTCTTAAAAAAATAGATTCAATGATTTGTGAGATCTGCAGCCTGAGACAGAATGAAAGTGATAAAAGAGCTCAAATCCTTTAATTTCTTATGACAGAGGGTAAAAATACTTTTCTACAAGTGAAAGCTGGGGTTTAATTTAGCGAGTATTATCACTAGAATTAAAGCCAAAGTTCTTAAAGTTAGGATATGATGCCTGGCCCCTTTTGGTAGTGGTACATATGGCTTTTTAAAACATGTATATCACCCAGTTGCACAGCCAGACATGCTTTGGTAAACAAAAAAAGGAAGCTAAACATTTAATTTTCCCATTTTATGATGTTATTTTAAACTATTTAGGGATTTTAGGTTTTAAAGAGGTTTTTAAGAGGCTTAAATGTGTGTGATTTAGACATCAAATCATGGGTATATGCCTTGCCTTTAAGGAGCAGCCCTACTTTATAACTGATTTGCTGTTCAATAATAAGAGTTATCCAGCATGTACACCTTTGACTGAGTGATACCTGACTGGATTTGTTTCTTTTTCTTTTAATTAGTTATTATTCAACATGAGTAGAAAGGCAGAGTTACAGGTGTAATACTTCAAATGTTCGTGTGTCGTTTTTCCTTTTTCCAATAAAAAAACGACAACAATTGATTTTTTTATTTTCGTGACTGAAGATGATGGCTTGCATAATAAATCTGACAAACA